GGAGAAAACCCAGATCCAGACTCCAGATCCCACACGAGCATTAGCATTAGCATCTGTAACCCACAGGTCTGTGTCCTAACCATTAAGTTGTTATCAGAGCATTAGCATTAACATTAGCATCTGTAACCCACAGGTCTGTGTCCTAACCACTAAGTTATCAGAGTATTAGCATTAGCATTAGCATCTGTAACCACAGGTCTGTGTCCTAACCATTAAGTTGTTATCAGAGCATTAGCATTAGCATTAGCATCTGTAACCCACAGGTCTGAGTCCTAACCATTAAGTTGTTATCAGAGTAAATCCCTGTTCAACATGAGTCTGACAGCTAAGTAAGTAGATAAATAACTTTAGACTTTAACACATGTATTTCTTACAGGTGTATACATTAAATACACTTTAATATAGGCCTGTATCAATTACGGGTTTGGATACGAAGTGAAAAAAGCTGGATCTGAAACATCTCAAAGCCTTGAAAGCTGGACTTCTTTTTCTCCTGAAGTCTACTGACAGACACACCGAGCTTTGAACCTGCAATTAATAGCCATTTACAACCTTTTTTAGCCCGGAAACTCTGAAAAACTCTGAAACACTCTGAAAAACTCTGAGCCAAACGGAGAAAACACTCTCCATCAGAGTGAATCAGGTCAGGATTCCAGAGGAAACAGCTTTGCTTTACTCTCATTAATCTGTTTCCAGGTCAGTTCTGCTGGAATCTCATCAGGATGGGTTCGCTGTCGTCTTTGTGTGCAGGAAAATGAGGCATCGGGCAGATTTCTGCCAGAGTTTGCAGCTTTTTTTTGCTCCCTCATAAACCTTTACATGAGTCAGAGGACAAAGGAAAACAGAACAGCCGAGCAGCTCCTGTTCTGTTCAGAATTTAACCTCAAGAACTTTGCTTAGTTTGGCCTTTGGTTGGTGTTAAATGAGACCTTTTAAACCCTGAACGCCTCAGGAGGTGCTTTTTATTTCACCGGATTTAATTAACTCATTGTCTGCCAAAGACGTCTATAGAGGTCTTTTATGTTTTTAACGAGAGTGTCTGGGGGACGATCTGCTAAAGCTTGTCCGTAAATATGGGCTTCTAGACAGAGTATGTAGTAACAAATTGACCCTCTAGGGGGCAGTGCCACTTTTGATGGGAGATGAGCATAGACTGTAGGCAAATAAGAAAAAGGGAACGGTTCTATGAGAGAACATGTCGCCGGTGAGACGCAAGTCCAGGAAGAACGGAATAAGGGAGAAACACATTTTTTTTCCTGATGAAAGAAGAGAGTCTACTCTTTCTTTTGGTGTGTTCGGGGTTTACATAGTCATAGCACAAACTATTCTGTGGCTCTAGAAAAATCAGTCAAAATGCTCAAAAAACTCTGGCAGTATGGGACTCTGTTCTGAAAATGGCTGCCAGTCAATGAGTTAAGCTTTCAGATTTAGTCCAACGTGAATAGCTAAAAATCTGAATAACAACTCCTGATCCAGAGTGTGGAGCTGCCTGTATGGAGAAGACGATCATTTCTTTTGTTTACTTCCTCCCTGCCTGAGTTTGTCCTCCTCCCAGACCAAACAGGTCCCGTATCTCCTGATACCCACTAGGGGTGGGACGGTTCACAAAATCCACGGTTCGGTTCCATTCACGGTTTCGTGGTGACGGTTTTGGGTTCGGTTCGGTATATGTTGATTGTTAGGAAAAATCTATTATGTCTCGTATAGTCAGGTTAAAACTGAAAGAAAAAAGCAGTGTGACATTTGATCCATTATTGTGACAGTCTGAGGTTAAAAGTAGGTGAGATTCTGGCATTAGGAGAGGAGACAGTGCTAATTCCAGCATGTGCTTCATTTATTTGGCAAACAATCTTTAACAAAGAAGCATAGGCTCTATAAAAACTAGACTTGGGTCCCTTTGTTTGAATTTAACTCAAGATAAATTGACATGGTTCAATTCTCAGATTATCAAAACTCAGTTTGTTCTGCAGTGTTTGAAATACAATCAAATAAATAAGGCTGGATTTCTCATCAAACTTAAAGGGCCACTGTGTTATCTACCCGGCTACGCTGCTTCTTCTTCTTCTGGTTTCCTACTGGTGGTTGGCTTTGGGCGCAGTAGCGCCCCCTTCTGCTCTGGAGTGTAAACGCTTCCCTCTGAGAAAAAGGAGCAGCAGGAACCCAACCAACACACGCCAACCCAACCAATCCTTAAATGGATTAGCTCCCCCGTATCTTCTGGAACTTTTACAATTTCAGCCCGTGTCCAGAACCCTACGCTCTAATAATCAGCTTTTGCTGACAGTTCCTCGGACCCGATTAAAGACGAAAGGAGATCGGGCTTTTCCGCTGTTGCTCCTTCTCTTTGGAATGATATACCCTTCCAAATTAGATCTGCCCACAGCCTGGATCATTTTAAATCTCTTCTCAAAACTCATTTTTATTCCTTGGCATTTAATTGAATTAGTTTGATACCTTGTTTTATTAATTTGTGTTGTTATCATTATTGTACAGCACTTTGGTGCAGTTCTATGCCTGTTTTAAAGTGCTATAGAAATAAATTTGACATTGACATTGACATAACCGAGACAGAACCCAACGGTTCAGACGGTTTTCAGAAACCGTCCCATCCCTAATAACCACAGATGCGGAGCCCAAACGGGCCGATAGGCGGCTCTACCTGCTGCCACAGGGCGCTGGGCTCCCAGCATGCACTGCACACGTCTCCCGCCGCGAACACGTCCGGCTCAGACGTCCTCATGTGGTCGTCCACCTGCAGGCCGCCGTCCGCCGCCAAGCAGAACTGATGGAGCCAGTTAAGGAGAGATTAGATAACATCTACATTACTGCAGCCAGAAGATCCAAAATAATGGAAAAAAACCCAAAATAACAAAAAATGACACATCAAATAACAGAAAAGAACTCAAAATAACAAAAAATGACACATCAAATAACAGAAAAGAACTCAAAATAACAAAAAATGACACATCAAATAACAGAAAAGACTCCAAAATAACCATAAAGAACACATTAGATAACAGAAAAGACCCAAAATAACCAAAAAGGACACATCAAGTAATAGAAAAGACCCCAAAATAACCATAAAGAACACATTAAATAACAGAAAAGACCCAAAATAACAAAAAAGGACACATTAAATAACATTTACATACACTTTTCTGTATTTAGAGGCTCTAACCTCCAGCTCCACTCTGATGCTACATGCTAGCAGAGGCGTTAG